ATACAATATAATGATCGGACAATGATTATTTATAAATGTATTAAACAAACGCCGGCGAGGCTGACTGGAGTTATTCATCAGTTAACAAACGATAAACGAATGATTCCAGCCAGTCTTTCACGATATATGTATATATGTATATTATATGCACGTACCGATCATCACAGTAATCATATAATTAACTAATTAATTCAATTATTAATTAATATGTATAATATGTGTACCGCGCTTTACGAGGAAACGATATTATTTATTTATATTTTGCTTATAATATTTTAAAAATCAACACGCTTCCCATGCTTACTCTCGCTGTTGTACAAAAACCCATAATTTATTTATTCACTTAATTGCGAGAGATAATATGCATTTGTATAGGAACAGAGAGACAAATATTATTCATTCACTTATAATAATAATAATAGTAATTATTATTATTATATATATATATATTTTATATATATGGGAAACGGACTAATATGTTTATAACTAATTTTTCAATTCCTTCGTATTTAGTTCATTACATTTATATATAGCCTATTATGTTATAAATAATCGTAGATTATTCATAAATAATTACAATCGTCTATCAACAATTCGCAATGTTAATTACTTAATAATTCATTTTTTTTTATACACATCTTGAATGCAAGTCATTAACTGTAGTTAATAGAATTTGTTCATTTTTTCATATCTATATATATATAATAACTGCCTAATCCTATATTTATAATTATTTATAATTAATCGATTATACACACGCGACCGCATACTTATTCGTACTTTTTATTTATAAGTGTTTGCATGTGTTCGTTTACTGCTCGCTCACGGGTTATTTAATTCCTTTCATTCATGAAATATGGAACGATGTAAATCGAAATCAATTTTATTAGTGCCATCCGATGATTTCATTGACAATCGAGTTTATTAGTTAGACCTGATTGCTTGTTCTTTCAAAGAGTAGAACTAGTTAAATAAATGAAATTAAGTGTTGCTGATCGTAATTAATAATAATTAGCTTTCACGAATCACAAAGGCCATTTCTGACAAATGGGAAGCTAATATTGTCGGAAACACGTGTACTATTCGCAGAATCTTCGAGTATCGAACCTCGAGGAGAGAGATTGGCTCCGAAGCCTCGTAAATTACGCCACGAATTGGCAATTTCCAACCCCGTAAGCCTCTTCATTTCCGCCATCAAACCTCTCTCGATCTCTGCCTTCCTTCGTTCGTCAAGCATAGTCGCTAACTAATTGACAGCGATTAACTGCGAGAGTGAAGGAGAGCCTCGATTCTATTTCTAATAACACAGAGTCTCAGAGAAACTCGTTGTTCCGTTCGATCAAAAGATTCTAGTTATAATAGTTTTGCAAACTCGGACAAGAATCTTTGGAGAAAATTCTTTAGTGTCAGTTTGGAGTACCAAAGGAAGTTTTTTAATGACAATTATAGAGATTGTATAATGGACGAGACGTATAGAAAAGCTGACAATGAGAGCAAGTACGAAAGGTAGTACGCAGTAGAAAAGAGCGATATTGGTCAGCCAACTGGAAGTACACGGCGGCATGTACCGTTCGATGATCAGAGCAGAGATTCTAGAATCCATCTATTAGCTTATTGTTAGCTATGTATTCGCGTTGAAATTATGGCTCCTGGACTAAATCGGATCGAAAGGAATCATTTCCGCATCGGCGGCTGCGTTATGAACGCTCGAACGCGCGAAATCAAAAGCGAAATCAAAATGCATAAAGCGGAAAAAGAAACGATTCGGATAAAATCGACCGGTGCCGAATCGATCAAGTAATCGATTAGCGAATCGGTCTACGAATTTTTTTTTTATTCAAATTCAACTGATTTTTCCACCGAGGAGCGTCGCAAGTTCGACGGGCCAGATAATTCTCCAAACGAATGATCCGATTCATTCCTAATTCGATACTCTAGCTTTGTGACGGACCTTCACTTTGGATCATCGACAACGACCGTTTTAATAATTAACTAATCATCGGATGGCGGTATAAGTAAATGCATTCGGCAATTTGTTTCTTCCTTCTTTTTACGCGACTAAGATAGTTAACGATCATGGGGGTATATCAGTAATGACAGCAATAACAATTGCAATAGTAATAATGGTATTGATAACGACATCAAAATGGCAAAATAATATTTTTTGTACAGGTCTACATGTAATTATATCGTAAGGTAACGATACTATTTTTAATGGTGATAATTATTAACCATTATGTGTTCTCCTTTAAAAGTGGTGCGTACTTGACCCTCTCGCGTTCCAATCTCTTATTGTTTCCAATTAATCAGCTTGTCCATTTCATTATCGATCACTCGTTGAACGACTTCGTATCGTAAATATCGGCTCGTGTGAAATATTTGTTCGTAGGCTCGTATTAAAAATGTTTCCCTTCTTATTTAATTTTTAATACAAAATCTTCTGCTGCGTTATATCTATTGCGATCCGTGTTAATTAAATTTCGTTTCTTTTGATTCTTATTTCCTCTGTTTAGTAATAGGTTCAGGTTTAGATCGTTTAATTAGGTTTAGATGGTTTCTTCTTATCTATTAGAAATTATAACATACGATTGTATACGATTAATGTAATTATATAAATTACGCTTAATATACTTAATTGAGTAATTCTTTTTATAAATCCTTAAAAATTACTTGCGACATTTTTTTTTTTGTTTCTTGATGCATTGCGACGCTATTGAGTCCCACGTCCTCGCAGTTACCTATTCTTCTCCTTTTAATATTTACAAGGGATTTGATTCATTTATATATGAGTATTTTAATCAGAACACCTCGATTTTATTTATTATTATTATTTTTTAATTTATCTTCTATATTACCGATTACTGTCCCTCCTCCTGCCCCGTTTTCCGTACGGGCTTCACAGTTTCATTTATTTCACGCAAAAAAATAGAATAATTGGTACACGATTACTTGTTCCTTCATTTATCTGTCTGTTTCGAAACGAACGTTTCATTACTTTTTGTGCGATACGAAGAAACCAATGACTGTACTCCTACCACTGTTCGTTTTCTTAACAAATTATAATTTACGAATTGATTTATGGCCTCTGTAATAACTGCAAAAAGTATTTTAAATAGTAATAATTGTAAATAATAAAGGTGCAACGCGGAGAACGCATTCTTCCATATTATTTATTATTTAACATTTATTATTATTTATCATTTCTCGCGATTATATGTTTCATTATGATAATTAATTGTTTAACTTTATATTCGTTGTTTACGACACGCGAGAAATGCAACTGCCTCCAGTGTAAATGATTGGAAATACAAGAATAAGTATATTAAGTATAACAAGAAATCTTTGAACGTTGAAAGACGAAATAATTGAACAATAACGTGCAACAGGTCAGTCATAGTGAAAAGTACAGTCGTTGATAAATTTCATGTGTGGTCGGAAAACTTAATTATCAAACGGTTGGAATCAATTTTTAATTAACTATTCTGCATCGAGCTATGTGGCTTTCACATTTAGTTCTGTTATGGTCTTTCTATCTAATTTTCTGGCTTTTACACTCTTTATTCATTTGAATCGGGGGCTTGTCCAACTTGGCAGTTTTGTTTGGTAGTAATTCGATTTTCACCTTCCTTTATACGTCTCGAGTCGGGTTATATTTTAAAAGCTCGAAAATTCTGAACTCATATTCCCAAATCAAACGTCGAGAAATTACTATTAGAAAATAGCATCAGTGATCCCATAAGAAAGGCGGCACTCGGTTCGTAGATTAAAGAAAATCAAAGCAATTCACTTAATTACTTGCTTTTTTTAATTCGTTTTTAATACCCTCGCGCGATGACTATGCGCCTCGTGTCTGTTACGATATTCTATTTAAGGGTTGGACAACCCCGTTTCGACTTCCATCGTTTATAGTTTATTATTTATTCATTTCTCCGTTTGTTCATTTCGTCTATTTGGCAGTTATTTAAAGACCGTTTATTATTTGTATCTATATTATAACAATCGTTATCGTTATCATTATTCGTAACTATTGTATTATTATTAACGTATGTACGTATATAGTTGCGTTATTAACAGTATTCGTGTTCAATATCGTTAGTGCTAATCGAGATTATTAATACACCTGTTAGCTCTCCGTTAAATCTTGTTACTTACCTGCCAATCATTATCATTATTATCGTTATCGTTAACCGTTTTCAATTACTATTACTATTGTTATTATTATTATTGGAATCGTTCACTGGTTCTCGCCTTGCCTAGCCACTTGTCTTTTTACTATCGTTTTTTGATAAATTGAAAGGCCGCGATCAACGTTCTTTCCGATTTTACCCCCTAACTATATATATATATATGTATATATAATTAATTTAGTTAATTAATTAATTAAAGTCGAAATCCTCGGTTCTATTCGTTACAAAAATTATAGATTACTCGGACGTCGATTCATTTTCTTTTTACCGCAAGGGGAAAGAAAATAAATCAATATTTCATGAGAAAATGGAACTACTAGTTTCCATAAAGCGAGGTCGTGTAGCCATGAGCATACGTATTTTTTTAAAATATACGTCGTTTAAACGTGAACGTGTCCAAGTATCATGAACTTTGTGTAAAAGATAATTCGTCAAAAGAGATTATCAATTCTGAACGGTGAAATGAACGAATAAATAAATAAATAAATAAATAAACAAATAAATTAGTTACCTCTTTAGTCTGGTTAACAGAAGACGAAACGACGTTTGCTCGTTATAAAGTTCACGCACAAAAAGAAAAACATATTAGTGAGGAGGCGAAACGATGTTCAGCTGAAGAAAATTGAATGCACAACGTGGCCGTGTATTGTCAACAGTGCTAATTAACTTTATCGAGTTCTCTCTCTTTCAATTTTCCGTTCATCCATGTTTCGTTCGGTATTTTTTCATCTCAAACAGGGAGAAAGGCAGGGAGAAAGAGAGAGAGAGAGGGATTGAGAGAGAGACAGAGAGAGAATCCTATTTTCATTCTTCTTTTTTTCCACCAAAGTCTTTTAAAGAGTAATGAACTCTCCTTTTGTTCGAGAGACAATCCTCGATTTTTAATTATCCAAATAATGTTACGATTCTTCTCTCGTCTCCTCTTGTTTCCTCCTTTCTTGATTCACACGCATTCTTTCTTCTTTCTTACGTTGATTTCTCTTTGTATCCATACATCTTCGTTCTTCCGCCGCGTTCTTGTCTCTTCTCCTTCTTCTTTCGTCGGAAATTGGAAGCACGTAGCAGTAATTTGTCTTTTTAGTTTCTTTTCCTTTACACGAAAACGAGAGAACAGAGGCGGAGAGATAGAGAGAGAGAGAGTGATAGAAAGATGTCGGGGTTGGGGAATTGAGAAAGGAAGAGTTTAATTGGTTTACAGGGGGAGGGGGCAGTTTTGTTTATTGGACGATTATGTGTGGGGCACGACACAGTATAACTATCGTTGCCACCACGGTGAACAATGTGAAGACGAACAAGCAGACCCTGTAAATAGTAATCATTAACAAAGCGATATTAATAAAAGCTTGTACGGTTTTTAAACAAGATAAATAATTAGGGAGTAGTTCCGTGTGTTTTACTGAAATCTTTCACTAAAATCGAATTACGCGTAGAATGTATGCAATGTCAACTTACGAACACGGAATAGTGGTCTCTATATTTTGATTCTAATTGTAAGATTCGACGATCTGTATTTGGACTGTAACAGCGGCGATTTGACGAATTGATATGATTTTTGTACCTGTCTACGACCATGGCGGCGAACTTCCAGTCGTTAATAATATCGTCGTTCTCATCCACCTTCTTCATACGATTCGTAATGAATCTCAACTCCTTGAGAATCGTATGCAATTCCTCTTGCATACCGCTTAATGGTAACGAGGCCGACGTGTCCTCCACCGTCGCTGGTCTCCCGGTCGAGATCGGCGTCCCAAACGCCGATCTACTCGTTCAAATAATAAAACAATCTCGTATCGAGCAGCAAGAAACGTTTCAATGACATTCAAACGGTTCATATGAAATTAGTCAGAGTAATTAATTTTTTCAGAGAATCCACAGTTCTGTACTTTTAAAGAAGTTATCAATTTTTCTACATAAATTCTATCCTCTTCTGTAATCGCATAATCGTAACGAATGGCAAGAGAGAGAGTTACCTTAGACCGTAACCGGAGGGAGGATTCGCGGCGCTGTTCTTGTGACGAATGTCGTCGTCGATGTCTAAAACGTTCGCCAGCAAACTTTTGCTGCTCTTCTCTTGCAGCTCCATGCCTTTGGCTCTGCGATCGCCGCCCAGGAGAGACTTTATCGTTATTTTCTTGCCAGGGCGACTCATGCGCAGGAAGCAGGGCAGCCATTGTAAGAACACCACTTTAATCTGAACGAAGCAAGCAGAAATTCGATCTATTTTATTATACGGTAACAACTTTGTACTTTACGTTGCGTCTAACATTTTATTATGTGGTCCACAGACCTGCTCTCGTTATCCGAATAGACTTTTAACGAGAGATACAAGCGCTCAAATCACCGAGACGTCTCTCTGTAAAATTTCATTATAATTGCTTCTTCGTTTCTGCATAAAATTGCAACAGTTTCATTTAAATAAGAAACGTCTCGGATCTCTTGAATCGAATCGCGATTTTTAACGTACGGCAAGCAGACTTTTTGGAATTCAACTTCGAGTAGATTTTAATAGAAGGAGAAGATTCATCCACTCGCGAGAAAAGGTACGAGATTCTTCGTAGCCCGTAGGATTCTTCAGATTCGAGTATCCGTGCTATGTTCCGTTTTTTTTTCTCCCCTTTACCTTTCCCCACCCTGGGGTTGGTTTATGAAAGTTTTCGAGTAACCAACGCGCTGGCAAACGCCTCGAAGGCACTTTAAAACTTTCAACAGACGCTGTCCGTCCTTAATGCTCGTAATGGCCACCACTCCTCCGAGACAGAAGGGTTTTATCAAACGAAAACACTATTCTGTTGCTGCTTATTTATGATTTATTACCTGTACACCAATGGGAATTTCGGATCTCTTTCCGGCAATTACATTTAACAGTGGCATACCGAATATTAAGATTGTATGAACCGTAAGATCTGTGTCAAAAATTTAAGATATGTAATAAAAAGATGTATACAATATTTGAAGCAATGAACTTTTAAAAGGAATGACAATTACAGAGGAGTAAGATT